AGGGTAAGTGACATAGGACATAAAAAATTATATTTCTGCGACACAATATTGTTTTTTTTTTTTGTTTCTCAGAAAAAAGGGACTCAGCTTTTTATGTGAATTACAGGATTGTTTAACCTCATCAGTCCTAATCAAAGAAAGATAAATTGCTCTTTGGTCTCCAATATTTGTGTACAAATGCGACTTTGGATGAGGGGTCACAGAGAGACATTGCTTCATTTCCACTGATAACAAGATGAAAAGGATGGGAACCACCTTCCCAGAGCAAAGGTTATTGTGGATCATGTCTGTCGTAATTCCTCAGTCTTTCTTCTCTGCAGCATGTTAGTGCCAAGCAGGTTCCTCTCATACATTTAGTTAGTTTGTTTTCATGCCTCTTTGTTAGTCTTCTAACCTGCAGGATCCCTACACTCACATTCACAAGTTTCACTAACGCACACCTCATCACTCTACAGCAACAATCTCCCCTGTGCTGTTTAATACCACTCGGATTAAAACAAATTGCTTTGGTTATGTAAAAAAAAAAATTCTAATAGACTCTGTTTGATAAAACACTGTCCTTGTGGAGTTCATGAGGTGACATTAAAATACCTCAGGGATTATTTTAACTGATCTGATGCAGAGCAGTGACACTCAGTTGATCTTCTGGTTGATGATCAGGGAGACTGAAACTATCCTTATCGACCTCACACAACCCATCAAATCTCATCCTGGGTCTGACCAACGCAGTATTTACAAAAATGCTGACCAGCAGACAGAATATTACTCCAGCTACCCAAGTGGTTACATTTAACTTAATCGTAACATTCAATTGTCTTGCGTCTAGATCATTTCTCAGTTTCTCAATAAAGATAAAGAAAAATCAACCCTAACCCGTCTTCTGTCAGGTACTTCTAAGAATAGTCCCAACATGCTAGATAGTTCTGCCCTCATTCGCCATAATGACACGTCATCCCGGCAAATCCCTGTCATAGCAGGGTGACAGACCATATAGCGAAGGCAGACCTGCAGTGCTAAATAATTGAGTTCCAGTATAGGCCTGGTCTGGAAGAGGACTAAGCCTGTTATGGATCACAAACCCTCCCTGCCCACAGTAGCTCTGGTCTCTCTCTCCCTCATAATTCACACTCAGATCAAACAGGACAGAACAGCTCACAGGTACAAGATCTGAATGTTCTCTGGTGGCACTGCACATGATTTACAGCCTTAATGGTCAAGAAAAGCTGAATCCATTGAGGGTGAAAGGTCAAGCTAATTACTTTAACCAGGTGTAAAAAAAGTTTCAGTTACAAGTTTCTGTGCTGATACCTTACGTTGAAGAATATAAATTCTACATAGCAGGTGTATTCATTATTTATTATATAAGTGTAAAATTAGTCAAATAGCTAAATGTACTGTGATAGAGAGTCCAGTTGCAGTGACAAACCCAGAAATAATCAACACCCAAATATGAAGTTTTAGTTTTAAATATGGAGTTTTTTGGCTTCTTTTAGCTCATTGTTTTGGTTTACAGTTTTCCAAATGGCAGAGCAACATAGTTAGTGACTAGTTAGTGAAGAAAGTGTTCTATCTAGCAGCTAAAAGAGAGAGATATTTTTCTCAGGAGTTGGTGGAGAATAAAACAGAGGTAAAAGGTTGGTTAGCCTACTAACTGACTTCAATTCACTACAGACAGAAACACAACTCCAAAACACTTTTTCCACAGGGGGCACCAAAATGAACACTAAAGGTTCCTTGTAGCTGCTTCAATTTAAATATATTATTTTAATACAATTATATGCCTGGCTGTGGGTTTGTCAGCTTGTTATGGAGTTTTTCTGCCTCCCAATGGCCACATAAATCAATGAATGAAACAAGAAGAAGTATCTTAAACTAGATTGAGAGTCTGACCAAGTATTAAACACCTTGTGCTACAGACACAATTTGTTCAGTACTTGAGATTTGACACCCAGCTCTACTTTAACACTGATGGAACAAGGAACAGTGTGGTGTTCACCTTGACTTACAAATTACATGGGACTACATGGAAGCATAGGGTGCAAAGTAAGACATGACTACAGCTTTATGAAGGAAAACTCCCTTTGGGACCTAACCGGCTTCTTCATCTCTGTGCAGCTCATAGCTTGAGCTCTTTCTCTACGAATCTAAGTGGGTCTTCTGTGTTTATGTCTCTCTCTGTGTCGCTTCCAGCCAGATCAGCCTGTCCATCATATAGCAGCCTCAGCAGCCCCACCGGACTAATTACAGGAAGGGTTGTATCTATTACAGTCTGCTGCCACTTAGAGGCACGCAAGAGAGCAGCTAACTGGCTGCTCTTTGGCTTTAAGTACTGGGCTTGTTGGGTTGACAGGTAGTGAAAAAACTACTGGCTGAATAATAGAAAGACCTGGACAAGACTGAATGAAAACTGGGACAAAGAGCCTTATAAGAATATAAATATAAGTCATCGAACAGGTGCTGCAGCATCATTTAGTAATATGCCCCTTCTTATGTGTGAAAAGGTTAAAGACAGAGGTCATAGGTCATCCTTCATCAGTTGAAAAGGTATCAGGCGCCGCTACGAGCAAGTTCTGAGAACGGGAGGCCACAGATGGCATTGGTGAGGATGTAACTCTACCTGAGCTTGTCCAGATAATGAAATGAGATCATGCTCACAAACCACATCAGAGCAAGCCAAGCCCTCAGCTGTATGCAGTCTTATGAAATAACAAATAACCTGAATGCCTGCCTCCAGGACCATGAGTCAGATTACATGAGTTTACAGCCCATTTTCTGTGCCTTAACTTTACTCCCAGTGGAGACTCCCTTTGGGTTTGATAAAAGCTTTTATCCTGGTGTGTTTTTATTCTGTTTCTTTAATGGCACATCCTGCCCAAACACCACCAGGCTGCAGTAACAGTATACTTTTGCGCATGGAGCTAAAAGGGTCTTCCGCTTCCTCTAGGTTGATGAGCGATGGTGATTGTTTTGAACAGGAACTTTGGGCTTTCCTGCCTGTTTGAGGGTCTGATCCTTTCATTACAGAGATTAAGCAAATTTCATCTGCGAGTACTGGCGGTTTGTCAGCAGAGATCGCCAGTAAGCTTGGAGCAGTTTACCTGAAAGGGGATTGGATAAAAGGAAGTACGTGTTCTCAAACACCATACAGAGCAAAAAGCACTCAACGTTATTAAGGCTAGAACTACAATATATGCACTATATGAGGATTTATGAGAGTATATGAACCAGTTAATGGCTGAGGTCTCTGAGGCTAATCTAAATCATACAATACATACAATTTTCCAACAAACCATTATAATTTTTAACTTCAGGATTTTAATCATTAAGACTGCAATAAAACAATAATACATACAGTATAGTTAGTACATTTCTATATTTCTCTGAGAGAATTATAAATAGTTTAAAGCTAAAAGACTCAGAGAATAAAAACCAAACACCTTCAGACAAACTCAGCTTCTTGATTTCTCTTAAATTTCTCGGTCCATCCATCTTCAGACCTCTTTACTCAGCATTTAATTTACACAGCCGTATCCGATCTTATAGCCAACTGGACACTGATAAATGACAAAAGTAGCCTGGAAAGTAGTTAATTATTCCAAATATTCTGCAGTGGAACAGGTTAAAACAGGGTTAATTGTGACCTATACCCCAGAGCGGCATCAGTAGTTAAGTATAATGATTTAAGTAAAAGAAAATACTTACTCAGAGGAATCTATGAAGTATATAACAAGGGCTCCAATGCTGAGAGCAAATACGAGAACCACCTGGAAAAAAGAAAAAGAAAAACAATCAGCCAAAATATACTTTTAAAAGATAACTAGTTTAGAACTAAACAGTAGATGTTTAATCTTCAGATGCAAATGAGGAAAGGAGGAAACCAGCTTTATGCACCTGACCCAATTGGCTGGGAACACAAATTTATTGTAATATTTAAAATCATTTGTGGGATATGGAGGAGTTTACAAGATTATAATTAAAAAAGTATGCTATGAGATTAAAAATGTTATAGCATACCTTTTTTAATGTGCACTTTTATAACCAAGTTGCAAAGTGTTTTAAAACACAGAAAACCAGAGAAACAAATATATCACTGTAAGATAAAATTGAATATTAACAAATGTATTTAAAAGTAAGAATTCAAATAATCTAAATAAAATATGACAAATAATGTTAAATATTTTAAAACACATGATTAAATTATATTTTTAGAGCTGCAACGTTAGTCGATTAACAGAAAATGACTGTGCAATTATTCTGATAATCAAATAATCTTAAAAATGTAATACATATATTTTTTGCATTTTAGACTGATGGTTGGACAAAATAAGACATTTCAAGACAACTCAGGCTCAGAAAAAATATGAAAAAGCAAACTATTCATTTTACAGACTAAACAATTAATAAATAAAGTAATTGTTGGTTGCAGCTCTATATCTTTTATTCTACAACTTATTTTCTCAGACAACTTGTGTCAACCGTGTCACTCCATGTCAAGGTGTGTAGCAAATGTTTAATGTCTGTTAATGAGCATCGACAGACCTTGATGCATCTCGTAAAGCCTGTTATAATTGTGTTAAATAAACCAGAAAGAAAGAGTCACAGTTTTGAAACAGCAGTGTCACAAACAGACTCATCAGTTACTGTACATACGACGGTGTAAATAAATACACAAGAGCTTGGCTCATCATGTAAATTGGCAGCGGAAGAGTGGGCGAGGTGACAGAACGTGGCTTCAGCTTTCACAGACACAAACAAGGAAGGATGCAGCAGCAGAGCCCGAAGCTTCGGTGGCCACAGTGGAGCAGCACGATAATAAAAACAGGGTATTGCTTTTAGTCTGTCACTCTGCCTTTCTGCAGGGGGAGACGCTGCTGAATAAACTGAAGCCAGGAGCAGACGGGGAGGCTGGTTGCAGGGTGATAAACATGAGATCCAGGGGTGTTAGTGAACAAAGAAAGAGTTGTCAGGTGACAGCTTAGGTGAAACCTAACAACTGTCAGGAATACCGCAGGAAATTAGGCTTAAATGTAAATACAAATAGTTAAATGGGAAATAAACAAATAAGAATATCTACATATTTAGAGATAATATAGTCCTTTCCATCAATGTTACCTGCAGGAATCTCACCTCACACAACGCTGCTGTCACTGAGAATCACACAGAAACATTCAAAAGTGACTGCTGTCATGTTGTGTTTGTCCAACCAGAGAAGAAGGTGGAAGATTATCAGAAATGGAGGGCAGATAACAAAATCTCTGTTACCTAACTAGAACATACTTATCACAAAGTAGGCTAAAAAGAAACTAAACCACAACAAGGTTCATGAGTTTATACATTTCACATTTTGCAATGCAGCTGTTACAAAACATGCTTTCTGCCATTAGGCTTAGAAAAGACCTAGATTTTTAATTCTTTAACACTAATGTACAGTATCTTCAATTGATATATAAAAGTCAAAAGGCACAGGAGCTCTTTAATACTGTTGCAAAATGAGTGTCCTAATTTCCCTTTTAAAAGCCAGTGCTTATGTAGACTAGGGCTTGACCCAGAGAGACACAGACACGAACAGGAAGGTTTCTGCCAGACAGCAGAACAAATGTTTTACATCCTGAAATACACTACTAGGTTATCTCAGCCCTACCTGGCTTTCATTTATTTAGAAATGACACAATGGCCATCCAGAAAAAGAAGCCAATGGGCATCCATAATGAATGAGCTCAGCCTAATTCATTTCCATGATGTGAAATTGTATTGTCAACCTGCAACCACTGATGGCTCCGTAATGACAAAAAGCACCCGCATGCATTTTTAATCGACCCTTCTCCTTTGAAAGCCAGGAAATCTCTTTATGCCTCTGACCATCCCAGTTTAGAAACTGGAAACAGTGTTGGTTGCGACCCTAGAAATGCTAATGCTGCGGCAGAGGAAGATCCAGTGATGGCAGTAAATTAAACATGCAGACTGTAACATAGAGAGGGCAGTCATGACTGGGTTTGTCAATGAGTTGACAGCAGACGCTTCCAGCATTCATCTCAGTCACCGGATAATGATGCATCACATCTGTATTTTCAGCCACATTCAGCCATTTGCGGGCAGATGGCTCCACCCACAAGGGGGCACAGTGAGCACAGACTCACAGAGAGGACCTACCACTGCATGACTCCCTCTGCATGATGACCAAGAGACATACTCAGTCCAATTTTCATTTACTTCACTAAATGTCATTGCCAGTTACAAAGGGGAAATTACATTGCGATAAAAGAAAATGCAAATATTTCCTTTCAAATGTAACAGTAATCATTCACCGCCAGGAAGGAAATCAGTTTTACAAAATGCTTTAAGTGTTCAAGAAACTGTCAGAAATAAAATAAAAAATGTCTTGAGTCTGTCAGAGCAAGTAGCAAGTAATTTGAAACAAGTCTGACTCATGATTCAGGTAAATTGAGAAGTTAAATTTCAAGACTGTCAAAGCAAATCTCAAATCACTGGAGACTTAAACGTACAATACCAGTATGTAATTTATGTAATAACAAAAGACAAAGTTGGATGACATTTTGAAGTAGCATGGGATCATCATAGGAGTGAGCCGAGCTGCTGTTTCTCTGATAACGATAGTTAAGATGACTAAAATCCTTTGTCCAGTTAAAATATATAGATAAAAATGTCCAGGAAAGTAGATAAAGATATAAAGAGACATTTCCTAAAAAATATATTGTAAAAATGTGGCTTAAAACTGACGCATGTGCAAACATGACAGATGACAAAGGAAATCTGTAATTTTATTCAAGTAATGGTGTGTTTTACCAGAGTTTGAACATTGTTGGAAACATTTGGGATAAGGTCAGAACACAACTCAACAAATATAATATAGGTGTAGCGTTTATAGACATTTTGATGCAGAAATGTTACATATAATAGCTCTAAATCATTTATGACAAATCCAAGGAAAGTCTCAGATATGTTATCTCAAGTCATTCGAGACAAGTAAAAGCCAAGTCTTCATAAGCAAAATGTGTTAAAATGACACAGCATTTAAAAATGTTCCTTTTAAATATGTGTTAATAGTTTTTTTTTTTTTTTACATTGCTTATTAAAAGTTTTTTCAATCTATAATCCCAAAAAATTATATTCAAGTTGTTCTGTCACTATTTGATTTCTTTTATTCGCTACTAACAATTAGAATTCTTCTAGGTCCACTTTCACAACAGATTATAATACCACCAATGATCCTGTTTGTGATGTACAGTATGTCACAGCCCTGCAGAGAGCACAGGCAGATCTCAAGCATTCAGAATTCAACCTGCGAACATCAGAGAACCCACTCATGCTCCTCCACGCTTTCTGGAGTGTGACTCACCATCAACCAGTGTGAATAACCTGCCAAAGAAAACAGGAACTTCACTTGGGCAGAAAAATTACTTTTACTGTGGGGAGAGAGCTCAAAGCCCGAGGTGGTGTCACCCTCACTGAAATTTCACATTAAAATCATTATTTCTTTTGTTGAAGGTTGACATGGAGGGAAATTACATATTTTTTAAATGAATAATGGGAACTAATTATGACTTTAGCACTGCAATATAGTATTAAAGATTCTGTTGGCTTGTATGATTGAGGAATTAAAAAAACTTAATATAAATACAATGAATACTAGAATTTTTGTTGCGTGAAATTTAACTTAATTTGATACAATACTGGGTTTACAATACAATTTTCTCAACAAAAAAAAAAGAGACTGAGACAAGATTCCTTTATTGAGAAATCCACAAAATATATTTTTTTACTTTATCAAATTGTAGAATAATTTCTGAGGTCGGGTATAACTTTGTACATCTTTGTAAATGTAAAATCTTCGTGCTTTGATACCACGATCAATAACACGATTCATTTTTGATCTCACAGATTTGAATATTAACATATTTGTATCTGGACTTAACTGTCTCGCAATATATCTTCACATTCCTAATGAGAATGCAAAATATTATCATTTGTGTTGTCTGGTTTACCATCATCATTACTGATGAAGGCTCATTGAGATTCAGGGAAGGTAGAATTGTGTTTTACAAAATATGCAGTGGGTGGTTGTCTTGTGAGCTGCAGTATCTAAAAACAGGATTCAGGAGAACCAGGGGTCAGTTTGTTCCATATTCCCCTAAAGCCTGCGGTCACCGTGAGATCAAAGCTGTCATTGGTAGGATGCCAGAGGTTTGTGTGTGCAGTCGACTGATTGAGTCTTTGTTTAAGTAAACCCGTCATGTCAGAGCTTTATTTTCCTGAGCGTCACATCCAGTTCATGCACTTTAACTGTGTGCAACTTAAATGTTCATAGTAGCAGAAATCCCTGACCTGGTGTTCTTCATGGGTGACTGTCTGACCCACAGCAGATTCCCCAGGAACACAGCGCTGCTTTCCAAAATAAAATGACCCGAGGACTATCCTGGTGAATTCCAGACGGCCGATCTGTCTGTCCTCAAGAGCCACTTTGATCATTAAGGCATCTTGGACGTAATGGCACACACATAAATACAGAAGTGCACAATAGAGGAGAAAAAAAAATCAAGTGCAATTACAGACTGTGATATCAATGGCAACACAAGTGGACGTCCATTTTTCTTGTTCAGATTTCTATTTCAGAACTTGAAACCAAGTTTTGAGTGACAGAGTTGTACTCAGCTCAGAATTTCCTCAGTTTTAATCAATACAGAATTTTTCTCTGGAATGAATATTGATTTATTAAGGTCATGAATTCTAGGCAAAAAACTACAGT